ACCCACCCCACAATCAGGCCATCCCTCAAGTTTAGTAGGTAATCGCGAATCAGGAGCTTGTAAGAACTTTAAATACACACAAGAGTGTAGATAATACCATTAGAGGTCATATTTTAATCGATCAAAACAAACGGAACGAGAGGAAATATATTCAATAGAAAGATAGGAGTTTTTGGTAGCCCAAGTTTTAATCAGGCCGCCATAGACGATACGTGTCTATAACTAGTGAGAACTATTTGGATTAAGTCAAAAAAGGGAATATGACCAGCATAGTTGTGACCACTGCTAGGCTAGTGAAAAGATTTATCAGTAGTGCATAGACGTAGATTGATAAGAAACAGCCAAAAATTGAAAACACTGTAGAACAGTGACTACAGAAGCGTAAGCGTTTATTCCTCACATCTGCATTTAGCTCACGTTGTGGTCAGGAAATGATCTCAAGGTTTAACCTGCAAAAAATCAACAACCAATCAGGGCAGTCTATTATCCAGTGACCTTAAATGTGGCTAAAAGTATATAAATATGGTGTGTTTTCCTTAATTAAAAAGTTCGTTACTAAAACTGGGTCATGAGTATTTCCATCTTTCACTACAGAACTGATTTTTTAATTAAAAAAACACGATCACCATGTTACGATCAGATTACACTTTCGTATGAATCAGAAAGACAGAATTCAGCATACCAAATCTCCTAGTTTAACCAAAAAACTCCTCTGAAATTCGAACCTACAATATCGTATTGCAAATCGGAAGGCTTTATCCCTGACAACTGAAGTACAACCTAGTCTTGTATGGAAGTGGATTATATATGTGAGAAACACTCAATCGTAATCGATACATCTGTTGTGGCCTTAAGCCCTGGTTGTAACCAACTAATCAATTGTACATACTTTTCCATTTTAGACCGGGACCTTATAATTAATACTGACAGGAATACATTACATCAATTATACATGTCCAAATCAAGTTCACTTTTAACATTTTGAAAAAATTTGGGCATTGCGTATATGATTTTCATCATAATAAAGGTTTTCGTATTTCTCCTTCTCAATGAATGAAAAACAGCAAAACGATATTATCGTTGTGCTTTACTGACGTGCTAATAGCTTTATCAAAGTATTAATATTAAACCAGAATTTACAAAATCTATTCAGCTTATATCATATAACAACTTAATCGTCGTTCATCAGCATGGGGACATTTTTGTGTTGTCAAATTGGCCAATTGGTAAAGATAACGAATAATTTCAAGTGTGAGGATGGATGTCCCACTGATGACAATGGTTGGTGGTCACGATAAACTCATCACGAATTGGTAGAAGTTAGAATGCATGCACTGGAGAGGAAACCTGTAAAGATGATTGCACCAAAGAAACCTCTATTTATTAAGTCACAATGTAATGGTGACTTGTCAAGTGAGCTTTTGTTCCAGAGACTTTCCAGGAGTAAACGACGAACTTCTTAAGCAGCAAACCTATGTTTTTCGTTCTCTAGCTGACGAATGATTGGGACTCAAAAGAAGGACAAGTTAGATAGTCTTGCTACATCTATTTTTATTTATCGATTCCACTGTTCCTGCGGTGAGAGTTATGTTGGGTGTACTACTAGACAGCTAAGCCAATACATGTTACTGAACATCTCCCTCATTGTGGTTTAGCAAAGGGCAGACCAAAACAACCCGTACCTCCATTTTGTTACATTTAGTTGATAGTGGTCATGTAGTGGAGAAAACGAAAGCATTCAAGGTAACTCATCGCATCCCACCGAATCTTTCCAATAGACTTCGTATTTGTCTACTGTACACAGCTGAGGCGATAGACATTTGAACTATTAAGCCTAAACTATGAATTAAGAAGAAGTCCCTACGGCCATTATCCCTCCCTTGTTGACCTATGAAGACCTAACCAACTGATGACTTCTCCACCACCCCTTACTTATATGTTGAACCCCTCTCTCTTATCATCCTTTAATCTTATCACATCCTCACTAAAACATATTTAATTTTACTCACTTCCCTTACAATCAAGCATTACTTAATCGGTCCATTTGTTTTTCTTAGGCCTTATCGACTACTTCTGTAACAGCAGAAGGCAAGACACGGAAGCAAAGGTATATTTTCAATTGATCAAACCGCTGTTTATACATATACAGTTTATACTCTTTAACCAATCACTGAGCGTGCGATTTCGGTTGACATTAAACGACATGAAATAGAATGTTAAATATACTATATAGTTTTCTGTTGCTAATACACTATTGAACTGTGGTAGAGCACGTTGACCGCTTCACTTATTTGGGAAGTACCATCAGCCAGTGCCAACGGGTTGATCTCTGACGAAATCTCAGTAAGGATACAGAAGGCTAGTTTCGCATATGCCAGTTTACGCCGTCTCTGGCGTAGACGTGATATCTGGCTGGCTATCGACCAAAGGGCGGGTGTACTGCTCATCAGTCCACTCCGTCCTCCTTTATGGCTGTGAGACCTGGCCATTGAGAGTGGAAGACATGAAAAGATTAGCTGTCTTCGATCATAGGTGCCTACGTTCTATCTCCCGTGTGAAGTGGTATATAGTAAGGTGAGCAATATTGAGGTTAGGCGTCGAGTTCTAGGTAAGGAGGGGAAATCAATCGACGAGGCTGTGAAGCTACATCGACTGAGATGGTTAGGACATGTGTGAATGCCTAGTCATCGCCTTCCTCGACAATGGGCAATGTTAGCTGACATATGGTCAGGCTGGAAAAGAGCTAGCGGCGGTCAAACCAAAACATGGCACCAGTCAATGAAATCTACAACAGTTAGTTTAAGCCAGCCACGTAGGAAGGTGTAGACTGCTTCCTGGGTTGGGGTCCTCGGGACGGTAAAACCAATGGTTGGAAACAATTGGTGACATGGCTCAAAATCGTTCTCAGTGGCGCAGATGCATCCACTCCTTGTGACTTATGATTTCCAGTTAAACTGTTTTGTTCTTCGTTATTACTATACCTTTGTCTCACACCTCTGTTTACTGTCTATATTATGCATTTCTCCTACTTTCTTCTCTTGCTTTGTGTGCTACAAGGAGGGAGTGTGGCGACTTGAACTGCCGCACATATGTGCAAAGTTCTATGTTGAAAACAGACAGACAGACATTGAACTGTGAGAATAATATTCCGTTTGAATCCATTGTCTGTATCACACCACCAGACTTCTACCTGAACATTTGTTAGTTTGTTTAATCATGCTGTTTTTCGTTATTCATATTATTACAGATCGTCTCACTTTTTCATCATTGTTACTGATAGAATCATCATTATTATGACTAATTGCGTAATTCCTATGCACAATCTTATTATCCTATGATTTTCTTTTCAAGATAACCTTTGTTTTTAAAAGTTAATTGGTGGATGGTGACTATCAGTGAAATCCACCAGGATAACGCGCATTTCGCCCTATTTGGGACTCGTCCTCTGGATGTACCTGCATTTCTCAGGGAGTGACGATGTTCCCACCACCGAAGCTCATACCCAGTGCCCATAGTTTCAAATGCCAGCTAATGCGTTATCCACTAGACCACTTGGGCCACGAGAGCCTCAAGTGCACTGGGTTCGAGCCTCGGTGGGAACATCATCACTCACTGTGGAATGCAGGTACATCCACCTGGCGGACGAGTCCCAAATAGGACGAAATGCGCTCTATTTTGGATTCCAATGCTAGTCACCATCCACCAATTAACTTCAAATTACATGCCCAGACATCGTCGAAGCATCTGTACAAGAAGCCGACATGTCAACCTGAGACCAAGCACTTTGGTTCAATCAATCGACGGGAAAATCTAAAATTGGATTAAATTAGCTTTGTTTTCTTTGAAGAATTCTCAGGGATGTACATGGACTACGTATAACCGAATATATATATATATATATATGAACTTTTTACTTGTGACCTCTACAGTTTTATATATAATTATGCTCTATGTGCTTACTACAAGCGCAAATAAGAGTACTAATGTTATTAACGGAAGGAGAACAGCATTTATTTCGATGAACATTTGACACTACTCATAAATATCTAGTAGTTCGAATAAATACGTAAAAAACCTTTTTCAGATGTGAGTAGGACGATGACAGAAGGCTTTCATTGTTTTTCTATAGAACACTTTCAGTGCAGACGTCAATATGAAGGCCTCGCAATTTAACCAAACAAGTTCATAGAACGCAATCACATGAGTTAAGAAACCTCTGTATTATTTCAAAATTAAAGAAAACTGTTAACTCTTTCAAGAATGAGCTATGAATAGCCTGCATAATTTCATTCTCATATTTTAGCGAATATGTCCTGATAACCGTCAGACAAACTCTGAAGTACTTCACAACTCAGATTATCTCAAGTCAAGAGGAATACAGTGTAGAGCATATATTTCAAGAGATCATACAGACAGTAGGACGAAACAGCTGTTCAGTACTTCCTGGTGGCTTCAAGGGTTCTCTCTAACCGACATATCAATCCGTGATCAAAAATTTAAAGAAAACATATCGAATCCAAAGAAACTAACTCTTGAAAATTAATCTCATATGCTCACTAGTCACTAGTGACAATAGGAAGAAGTTGACTATAGTGACCTCTAGAGTGAGAAGTCGTGACCGATGGGGTCCTACCTGGTTGGGGGAAGTGAGGACAAATACTCGCGTCACCACTGACATTGGCTAGCAGTGGTCGCACTAAAATTACGAATTTGCAGAAGTTAGAATTCATGTGCTGGCCACTGAACAGTCGGGGTGGGGGGGTCCCAGTGGCTGAATGGTCTACGGGCTTCCCCTTGTAACCTGAAGGTCTTGGGTTCGAACCCTTGTGGTGGTGGGTACGTACTGATGACTCCCAAACTTGGAGGAAGAAACACTTGGTCCAGCACTCCCTCCCTGGCAGACACCCTGCTAAACCTCGGCCTAATCGATAGTGAACCCCGCAGGAAATAGAAGTCTGTGGGGGGTGGGGGGTTAGTATGAGACTAGTGCAACTAGCAGCCGTATAAAACAACACCATTCCTACTGACACCTGTCACTCGGAGTACAAAGAATGTGAAAAGAAAAGAAATCAGATCATTACAATTATTCTTTTTTTGTTGTTATTGTCGAATTTCTCTTAACTGTGTGCATTTATATAAACTTTACCCCACTCACAAACACACACACACACTCATACTATAATATAAATAAAGTAGAAAGTCTCAAATAATACTTACTTACACAAAAAGGGGAATAAAGAAGTCAAATGTGAGTATAGAATAAGGGGGATAACAAATTTGGTAAGGTAATATAACGTCTCTGCTCTTTTACAATATTTATAAATGTATATTGTTGTTGTTGTTGTTAGGGTGGAGTGGGGTTGGGAGTAGAGAAGAGAATAGGGGGACAGGGGGTATATTTAAAAAAAAACAAGGGATAAGGTGGAAGGAAGAACAGGTCAAAGTAGTGTCGTCATGGGGTAGTAGTGGTGAGCTGCGTAATACTGTGCAAAACCACAATTTAGCTTGACTGTAACTGTAGGTGTTACACTCATCGTATTATATATACTCTGTTCCGTTATGTATATATATTTGTTTCCTCTCTCTTTTAAAAAAAAATTCAGGAAGAAGAAATAAAATTGGTCTACACATGCTGCTTTGAATATTAAAACAAGGGCAGTCGTGGAGGTGGAGGCAGCGGCAGCGGTGCCGGTGATGTGCTGTGGTGTGGCATGGAAGGGGAGGCGGATTGGCTGGCGTAAAGAAAGACTTATCGTTCCCTGTAGTAACATGTATGAGTATGTCTGGGAATTTTTTTTAAAAAACACACAAACCAAAGGAACTCAACTCAACTTGTATTCACTTGAATATAAAATGGGCAATCTGTTGTTGTAGTATTGTTATTATTATTATTATTATTTCCTAAGGATGTATTAGTATTACTATTCCGTAAAATATGATGATGTTCCTGAGAGTCCACAACACCACCGCCAATACCTGTTTGTTGTTGTTGTTGTGATTGTGGGTCTTGTAGTAAGGCGTAATGTTGTTGCCGTCGATAATTAGACGATATATCGTCATAGTAACCAATACGATTCGGATTATTATTATTCATTAATCGATTTATCATTTGTGATGTTGACGAAGATGATGCTGAGGATGACGAGGATGAACATGAGGATGAAGATGTCGAGCAGCAGGAGGAGGCGGAGGCGGCAGCGGCAGCGGTTACTGAAACTAGAAACGAGTTATCAAGGCACATTGAATCTTTATGGATTTGAGGGAAATTATAACCATCAATATGTTGTAGTTGGGATATATTGCTATTATTAATAATAATACTACTATTATTCGTGTTATGAGTAGTATTGTCAGTATTGCAATCAATCGATGCAGATAAACCTGATCTAGATAATGATGAACAAGATTGGTCTGGTAATAATGATTTTGTTGGTGCGGATAAAGGGTTGGATGAGGCTGCAACAGCCGCGGCGGCTGCTAGACTTGCTGCACGTATAATATCAAGAGCTGGTTGACAGTGTTGCCTCGGTCCAGACTCTGGATGATAAGTGAATGTTAATCCACTGGCATAGATAACACCGTCTTGTCGAACTAAACTAATAGGCACCTGAATAAAACAAAAGATTAAAAAAATATTAAAGATTGATTACATGACATTTGAAAAGAATGAATTTTGTCACACACACATACACACAAATCAATAATTACACACCTACAGTGGTTTTATGCGTCAATGGGTTCAATGGTAGTTTGATCGCCAAACCATGCCGCCGCCTCACGTGTTCCGGACTTGATTTCCGGCTGACTTACTCCCAGATCTTGCTTAGAAGGCAGTAAACCCAAAGAGTAGAAACCACGGAGTGTGAACGCAACAGTGACCTTGAACGCGTACCATTTGTTGGATAACAGAACCTACCGATATTACAGCCCCAGTATGAATGCTGTGTACAAATTGATGTGAAAATTTCATCCTGAATTCGTTTCAAAGTACTGTTTGGACAATAGGTTATAGTTGCACGTTAGGGCTAGGATTAGTGTTCATTATAATAAAGGTTTTTTTTGTATTTCCCAATCAATGAAAAAGAGCAAAACGATATTGTCGTTGTTTTTACTGACTTTTCGCTATTTAATGCTGCTGCTGCTAATAGCTTTATCAAAGTAGTATTATTAAACCAGAATTTACAAAATCCACTCAGCTTATATCATATAACAACTTAATCATCGTTCCTCAGCATGGGGTCATTTTTGCGTTGTCAAATTGGCCAATTGGTAAAGATAACAAAACCAGGTGTAGATTGTTGGATTTGATAAGTGTGTAAAATTAAAAAGAAACATCAAACATTACTGAAACTCTCAAGCAAAACAACTACCCAAAGAACTTCATCAACAAAATCAACACTGACATTAAATATGGTTGAAAACGTGTTCCGAAAACATGGACCCCAACAGTCGTCATTCCATATAGAGCGAATACGTCAGACGATATCAGAAGAGTACTCAATAAGCTTGATATCAGAGTTTTCTTCAAAACATCAGACACACTGCGAAACAACCTTGTCCATATAAAAGACCAAATTCTAAAGATTCTCTACCTAATTTTGTCTATAAAATAAAATGCTTGGTTGGAATGTGATGCGATATACATCGGACAAACCTCGCCAGAGAGAAATCAAAATCAGAAGAAATGAACACCGTAGAGCCGACTCTGTTAGACCACCGAGAAATCCAGTTAGTGAACTAGAAAAGCTTGAAAAATCATCAGCCATAGGTGGTGTGGTGGTCTACACGCTATAGAATCAGGCCACAAAATTGATTTTGACAATATTGAAATAATCCAGAAAAAGCATTTCAGAAATCACAAAGAACGTCTAATATCATCAGAAGCACTTCATATCGAATGGAATCCAAATTGTCTGAATGGTCTGAATGATGGACTAAAACAGAATTTGACCTGGTTACAACACCTCCCTCCCCCCGTGAAATGACAAAATCAACACGAATGTGATAAGCAATTTCATTATGTAAACACATGCTGCTTTTATAATTTTACACACTTATCAAATCCAACAATCTACACCTGGTTTTGTTATCTTTACCAATTGGCCAACTTGACAACAACGCGAAAATGACCCCATGCTGAGGAACGATGATTAAGTTGTTATATGATATAAGCTGAGTGGATTTTGTAAATTCTGGTTTAATAATAATAAAGACTAGATGACCAGTTAGTAAGAATTGTCGACAAGACAGTGAGGGAACGAAACAACCAACCAGCCAACCAAGAAAATATCGCCCAACAGATATCCTGAAGAAAATGGAAATGAATCGGACACATGCCACTGAGGAGATAATCGACTGACATCGCTCGAGTGGAGTCCGAATGGGAAACGACAAGCTGGAGGCTGATCCGAGGGTGACATGGTGAAGATGAGAGACTATGGGTAATTGTTGATATAAGTATAAAACTTGGGCACTGTGGTAGAGTATAACTCTATTATGGATAAGATTTTATTTTGATAAATCACACAGTATTACACGTCCACTTTGGACGTCCCCTTCGTCTTCGTATCCACGAACATAAGCTAGCTGTCAAGAGACATGATATCCACTCCCTCATATCACTACATACAGACAACCACGGACACCAATTCGACTGGGACAACGTTCAAATATTAGACAGAGGAAACAACAAGAACGCTAGAGAATTTTTAGAAGCTTGGCATTCCAGTGAATCATCAATCAATAGACACATCGAGATAGACAAAATTTATCAACCGATAAGAAAGAAACGTCACACACAAAGGGTCAAAGTTCAAGTCAAAGGAACAATGAGTGACAATACAAGCAACCTAGAAGGTGTGAGAACAAACAAAAACAACCAATCACGTCCAAGGTCGCCAGGAGAGATGATTAATAAACTCGTGGAAAAATCTAAAAGCTCACTTCAAATTGAAGTATGCGCTGAAGATGTCACCTAGTAGGGTGATGAAAGCTTCGCAAATTAACTATCCAGCTCAGAGAACACAACCACATCAAAATACATGAGTAAAATTGATGATTAGACATTTGAATAAAAATCAATATTTCTGGTATTTGCATTGAGCCATTTCTGTTGCATGTGTTGGATGTAGACTCAACGAACCAGGATTCAGTAATCAATCTCTCTCTCTCCACCTACCTATATTACTTTTTAGAATTTTAACCCTTTCCCACTCACTCTATTATGTGGTTGTGTGTTAATGCATGTAGTGCAATACAGTGCTGAGCTTTTTTCTAAATTACTTATCTTCTCGGGGTCAACCATTCTAACCTTAGCTAAATTCTTATGTTCTGATAATCTCACTACTCCTGATCTACTAGTTTGACCTATGTAGTTGACTTCACAGTCATTGCAGGGTATTTTGTAAATTATATTATTTTGTTTAATTGGGTCCACCGGGTCCTTTAGCCTACAGAGCTTGTCCTACCTGAATGAATTTGTAGGTTTGAATGCCACCCTAATTCCTGCTTTATTAAGAATTCTACGTAGGTATATATATGGTATAACAGTAGATGACTTATATTCTCTCTTATTTATGTTATCACTACTAGTTTCACAGTTCTTTTTATTTTATTTTTGGCCTTTATTGATCTTCCTAATGAATTTTATAGGATAGCTAGTTATTTAACATCAACGCTTCTTCATCTATCTGTTTCATTTCATCATTTAGGTCTTTTTTGTGCCACTTAGTGCTACTGCTCCGTTTGTTAAACACTTAACTAAGCCTGCCTTAACAGTTAACGGATAATTAACGGGTAATTGTGGGGCCAGATCATCTCTCAAGGGGACCGCAGAGAATATGACAAGGTGGAGATGTATTGTTGAAGCCTTATATATGTTCCACACTAGGAACCCAATGGAACAACAATAATAGTACATAATTCTTTTACTCACCTCCAAAGTTTTTTGTATAAACGTCCAATCTCTATGAAACTCCGATATATCCGGTACAAAACACAACAATAATTCTTCACATCGATAAAATGTTTGCGCTGGTACATCCCCAAACCATACTTGATGCCGTGGACTGAAATTCTCCCCAATCAATTCAAGCATAGCAACATCACCGCCACCATTGACTCGCATATCACGTACAACTGGTACAGGTGTTATCGGGATAATAGATGAGCTGGGCGGTGGTGGTGTAATCGACTTAATCTGTCCATCTATTGTTTTATAAGTGCTTGGTAACTGACTTGGTTCAAACCAACGATATTCTGCCTTGTCTGTACTAATAATTGTCCACGCGGCTGCATCATTTATCTTCTCTCTATACGGATTTTCATCACATGGTGTTGATGGCAATTGGACAATTTTATCTTGTGAAAGACATAAATACATACGATCTGTATCTTTCAGGTAAAATGCACATTTGTGTAGTTGACTAACTGGATCATCAGCATCCAGGAGGACGGTAGTTTTATCCACTTTGCGTACAATCTGTTCATCAGAGGAGGAAAAAACATAACACACATATAGGCAAAATGTGAAAGTGAAAAATGAACATAATTTGAAAAACAACACATGTTGATAATAGAATTTAATTATAGTGGATGGTGACTTGCACATTTAATAATAATAATAATAATTTGCTTTATTCCAGAAACAGTACTAGTGCTACAGTGTGGAATTTTCAGCACATATCTACAATATTTGCATCTAATTTTATCAAACATTTAAAAGGAGTATTTCAAAAAATAAATATAAAAACACAAAAATAATTTTTAAAAATACCAAGAAGTAGAAAGGAAAATAAACAACATAAAAAATATATCTCAGTATTGGGTAGTGGAAGCTATGATATGATTATGCATGGTGAAAGTAAAGCTATAGTCATACAAGAAGTTATGAAATGATATTTAGGAATGTTTATCGCCAAGATGATCAGTTAATTTGGTTGAAACAACACTAAACAATCATAAAATAACATTTCAGGGTTTTTTGTATTGTCAGGTCTAATGCGGTGTTTGTAGTGGTAGTGTGAGTAATCCTGTATAATACAAAATTTTAAGGGTGACAATGGCGTTGACAACCAATGATTATCAGTTAATATTGCAGAAAAAAATAAAAAAATAAGAAAAACAACCACAAAACTAATAATTACATGATGGTTAATGACAGGACAATTTTGTAATACTCATAGTGCTAATATAGTCGGAACCAGTAGATACACAAAAGAAGGAATACAGTAAAGTACAAAAAAAAGCTAGCCAATGTTAATAATTTAGGTAGCTAAGTGTGTTTAAGAAGAAGTTCACTACAGAAAACTAAATAAGAGAGAAATAAAAGAGCCTAAAATTATGATTATTAACAACAAAGCAAGTCGTAGGTTTCGCACTTAACATTGTCTCTGTCGCTTAGAACACGAGTCAAGTATGGTATCGTTGAGTTCCTGTACTTAGTTGTACAAACATAAATTATTTTATACTGATTTCTGGTTCTACTTGATGAGATACAAGGCGAGAGTCGACAATGGAGGGGATGTTGGGAGTCGTAGAGTATGGTTTTAGACCATTTTTCGCATGTATTCAGATGCCTTTCTACTAATGTAGTGATGAGCTGACTGAGTTTTACACCACTAGTCCTACTAACTACCTTCAACATCCTTCTCAGGATGGTATAATCTTTTTTCAGTAGACCAGGAAAGACTTACGGGGAGCAGTAAAGTAGAATAGGTAAGATACAAGAGTTGACAAATTGTGAAAGTAGAGGTTGGGGGATTCCAGATAGTCCAAGTTTCTTAATGTAGTAGTAGGTTAGACAAAACACTTTCTTAGAAATCGTTAGGATATGAGGTGACCAGGTATGGTCGGTCGGAAGATAGAACTAGACCGAGGTATTTTGCATTAGACTCAGTTTCAATTTTAGTCCCCTCAATGCAACAGGCTTCATGACTACTTACTAGTGTTTGTAGATCTCGTTTATGCCTAAGGTAGAAGTCAATAGTCTGGCATTTTGAGGGATTCAGCATGAGACCATTTAGTTAAGACCACTGACTGATGTTCGACAGGAAGCTATTTAATTTGAAACAGTCTGACAGTCCTATTTAGGACTCGTCCACCAGCTGGATGTACCTGCATTCCACAGTCAGTGAGTGATGATGTTCCCCCCCCCATCGAGGCGCGAACCCAGTGCCCATAGTTTCAAACACCAGCCAAAGCGTTATCCACTAGACCACTTAGGGTGGGAGCATCATCATCCAGCTGGTGGACGATGCCCAAATAGGACGAAATGCGCGTTATCCTGGTGGATTCCACTACTCCTAGTCACCATCCACCAATTAAATTCTAATTTTAAAAATGCCCAGACATCGTCGAAGCATCTGTACAAGAAGCCGACACGTAAACCTGAGAGTGAGCACTTCGGTTCAATCAATCGATGGGAAAATCGAATGAAATTCAATTAAATAACATGTTGATTATGGCTTGTGAAGTGAGTTTCCCTATTTGGTAATAACCAGGCCTCTTCATGAGTTATCAAAAATCATGGACATCATTTAAACAAAACAAAACGAAACCAAAAAAGCATTTTTGTGCGGTCTACTTAAACCACTGGGGGGGGGCTACTAAAATTTTGAATAGCGGGTATACTGCATAAAAATATCTTCTCCATTTTTCTTCTTCTATAGAGCCTCTCTCTCTTTTGTTAATTCAGCAAGCTTGCTGTGGTATAAACAGAGTGTTGGAATAATGTGGGCGGTTGTATTCTTTGATTTCATGGAGGATTTCATCATGAGCTGGCATCAGTTACAGAACCACTGGAAAACCTGCAGGGAGTACTCGACAGCTATTTCCTCCGTCCTAGTTTGGGGCTCTTCAGCAGTATGCACCCACCGCCAGGGTTCAAACCCAGGACCTTCTGGTTACAAGGCTGGCGAGCGAGCTCGTAGACCATTGAGCCACTGGGACCCGATCCAATGGCCAGCCAGTCTATGAATTCTAATTTCTGCCAATTCACGATATAGCGCAACCATTTCGCAATGTCTTCTCTTCGATGAGTTGTATTCTTACTTTTCTGATAGGAAGCAGTACATACTGTTTACAGATGGGAAGTCCTCCTCCTCCCCTCCACTGCTTTACTCAGTCTAGCTGATGTTCCTCGAAGTGGTGTTCTTTCTCCTTTTATGTCTTCTTTCTTCTCTCAGATGACTTGCCTGATCTGACTGTTTCTATGCCAGTGGTAACTTCTTAATCATATTGTTCCAAACTGAATAAAATTTTATCCGAAATTAGTCAGTGGTCCTTGTGTCAAATGGTCTGAAAGGTAAATCCCTCTCAAGCGCGACTTACTTACATGAATTTTGTTTAGTTCCCATAGTTCCACTATATCATATATGCCATCACAGAAGTTGAAACTAAATCGAATGTTAAATACCTCAGAGTATGTCTTCCTTCGTGCATCAGTGGCACAGCGGTTAGGACGCTTGCCGACTATGTACATGGTCCGAGGTTCGATCCCAGGCCGACAAGGCACTCCTTTACCTCGCTAAACCAGTAATAGAACTGGCAAAGAGGAAAGATTGGCCATATGAGGCTAGCAACCCCATCCTGTAAAAATAATCACCACTGCTACAGAAACTTCAAGCCACAAGCTTGAAGCCCTATGCTCCACTGAGAACGTGAAGGAAAAAAAACGTCTTTCATCATGAGCTGACATTAGTGAGAAGTCGTGACCAGTAGGGTGCAGCAGGTCGGGTGTGACGACAAATACTCTCCGAAGACATTGGCTAGGGGTCACGCTATGTCGTGAATTGGCAGAAGTTAGAATTCATGGACTGACTGAGCATTGGATCGGGTTCCAGTGGCTCAATGATCTACGAGCTCGCCAGCCTTGTAACCAGAAGGTCCTGAGTTCAAACCGTAGTGGTAGATGCGTACTGCTGAAGAGTCCCAAACTAGGACGAAACAGCTGTCCAGTACTCCCAGTTGATGGTTTCCAATGGTTCTCTCTAACTGATGTCAGCTCATGATGAAATCCTGTAATCAATCAAATCCCTATAAACCAACACTTGAAAAAATGTCTTTCTTCTGATCTTTCCTAGTTATCCTACATCATGTTAGTGACTAGAAAGATATTCCGTTTATAATTGTCTATGTAAGGAAGTCAAGACAATCTGGTATCACTCAGTCAGTCTCTACTTTCTAAATTTAATAATTCCCGTATTCTATCTAAGCCTTCTCTATTGCTCCCCCACCCAGTCATGCAAGAGATAAGTCAATATAATCTTGTTGGACACTAGGCATCCCCTGTCTGTCCATACACAAATCTCTCCATATTTTCTCTTGTTCGGTTTGTGTGTACAGCAAGACAGCCCGCACTGAAGTACTGAATAGTACCCGACCTTTGATAGCCAGACTAACGTCACATCAGCGCCAGAGGTGGCTCAAGTTGACGTATTCCACCTTAACCTTCATGATACGCTTAGAAATCTCTCCCGTCATACCGTCAGAACTCACACAGCTATCCAGACACACGAACTCATCAACAAATTCAAGCAGTTAATCTGCACGAGTGAGTGCAGGTACAGGGTCCTGCCAATCTTGTAACAGTACTTTGCACTTAGACGGTGCAAAGCACATTCTTCCATACTTACAGACACTGATCGCCACCTGATTAAGTACGATTTGGACAGCCTGCATGCTACTGCGCAGTAAGACGATATCGTCTGCCTACTCGAGGTCGAAAAATTCCTCTCCAGGGAGTTAAAGAGAAACTGAGAGATCGGGTAACCCTGTCGTCTAACCCGACTGTTGGTTGGGAACAGTGATGATAGTTGGTTGCATGCCCTCACTCTATCTGAGGTGTTTCTTTGTATAGAGCTTTCAAGATGTTCACAATTTTCTTAGGTACACCCGTCTCTAACAGACAGTTGCAGAGCACAGTTCAGTTCAACGAATCGAAGGTGGCCTTAATATCAAGAAACACAACGATTGTTGGCCTACAATACGTGTGGCGGTGTTCCAACAACTGACGACGAAGGGTGATAAGAAACTGTCAAATCTTTTGAATAGTGTTTATTTCGAGCAACAGATGTAGTGATTGTATCATCCATCATTATACTACATGCAGAGGGGTCAAGTGTGACCACGGATGGATATCAGTTAGCGAGAACCATCAGGAAACCAGTTGGGAGTGTGTACTGGACGGCTGGTTCGTCCACCTTAGTTTGGGACTACTCACAAGGGGCGGGGTGGGGTTCGAACCCAAGATGATGCTGGTAATACAGATGAATTAGTACATACATAACTGTAATTACACACTTTATTAACTTACCAAACGTGGTAATGCCATACCAGTTTCAGAACAGACTAGCTTCACTGTATGCCCATAATGTATATAACCATCTTGTACAGTGAATTGTTCCGCTTCATCTTGATCATCAGCCAATAAATTGATAGTAAATGCACCCCAACGACTTGAACTTGCATGAAAACTTGCATCTTCTACATGCAGATATCTTGTACTAACTGTCTGTGAACGTAGTCGATTGAATAGGGCAATCTTTGTACCAGATGCAATACATACTATAACAACAATAAGAAAGACAAGAGAAAACAATGCGAGTTAAAAAAATTTTTTTAAATGAAATTAAATAAGACTAGTCTTTAAAATTTTTCTATCCAGCAGGGAGTGCAACACATTAGAGTGAAATTTATTCATCAAGGGGGTTCACCAAGAAGACTGTCTCGTATGGTTATATAAAAAGGTAGTAGTGTGATGAGAGCTGTCTGCGAGCCTAAAATTGTAAACAACAATTTACGTCAATGTTTACGTCCCTAATCAGAATCATGAGAAAAAACAACAACAAAGCTTAAGCTTGAGGAATTCAACAACCAATCACAGCAGACCTTACGCGTGCAAATATACTATTCGCAGATATGTGGCTTAACTTTCTGAGAAACGGTCACAAGCAGTACGGAATAACCTTCAGCAAGAAAACAACCAATCAGAAGACGTTGCATCTTCACTGACAATAATGTACATAAAAATCTATAAATACCTCTTGATTTTCTGAATAAACGATCTGTTGGCTAGCCCTTGTCTCCTGTCGTTACTGTAGTAGTAGTGGCTCTCCTCTAAGGATTTTGATAATCGAACACAGTTTGTCAACACACTGGTCATTCCATCTCAACAAACGCCTCCTCCCTCTCCTTTTCCTTCAAAGTAATCTATACAAAGGGAAAAACAACCTGACAAAGACAATACGCACTCGTCTCCTCACTGTATTGCTGAAGCTTTAGACATTCAGGTAGAGAAAGTGGAGACATGCATACAAAATAAAGCTATTCAACCACTTCTCCTATCATAATGGTGACAACCTGATTGATTTCTACTGACTTTATTTTGGTTTATTTGTTTGTCTCTTCACACTGTCAGTAACTAGCTCATGTTCCACATCAATGTTAAAAGTCAGACAGTGCCTCAATATGGGTAAGAAACTTGCACTGCGCATACGTCACGAAATACATTTCTAACAGGCCCCCTACAGACTTTTATCAACAGCTGCCACCTTCACTGGTTGGCTCCATACTCTGTAGATCCGATGGCTTTCCAGAAACAATTAGCGGCAAGAAACTCTGCAGTTCAAAGAACTAATATCAATAAACTATTGCTGAACAAATATGTGTCGAAGAAGAAGGATCAGACACACGCACCAGACTATCGCTCGAGGTTCCCGCCAACTGGAAACGATGAGTTGGGTGTGGGGTCTGAGGATGACACGAAGGAGAAATCGTGTGGTGTGAAGGAGAGATGACAGACGATGGGGAATAGTGGGGTCAGCAGGACAAAGTGGAGAAGAAATGCTGCTATTGAAGCCCCATGTTCCACTTGGAACCCAAGAGAACAGTGACGACAACAACAACAACTAGCTCCTGTTCCACTAGGTCGATTCAATGCTCCTTCTAAGAACAAAACCTGATTTGTTTAGTGTCAAAAACAATTACCAACTCAGTTTATAATATATGTTAGTAACAAGATTACGGAATTCAAGATAAGTTGATTCTTAGGCATTAGCGACAAGTTATTACATAATCAAGAAATTTGTAAAATAGCAATGATGACTAAGAAGAATAGGATGACTCAGAAGAATTACGTAAAATACAAACAAGTTAAGAGAATTAGCTAGAAGTGTAAAAATTAACAAAGTCAAAAGATAGTTACAAGGGGAGGGGAAAAACTCGTTTTTAAAAACTTAATACATATTACATAGTTAGCCATGACAAAGAAAGGGGCTGTACAAATTTCTTTTGAACTAACGCATAGATTTGGCTTTTTCAGATGAATTCCGATTGCCTCTGCTGTATGTCAAAGTCGCACTCGTAGACGATGTGGTGAGAGGTTGGGTGATATACGATGAATAACTTTAAAAGCTTTGTTAGAGTCCTTTTGGTGTTCAGTATCGACAACGAGATAACTTAGTATTGAGCTGCGTATAGCAGCTTCATTCGGACCTTTGCCAAACCAAGATGGGAAGAGGTGTTCAGAAATTCGACGATGAACTTGCCCGATCCTACGCCCAATGTACCTAGTTCCTCCACACGGGCAGTTCAACTGGTAAATACAACACATGGAAGAGGCGAAACACGGCAGTCTGTCTTTATTTCTTGAACTAATAAGTATTGGTCGGCTAGTGAATACACAGCAGAGCTTAGATGCGTTGAAAGTCCCTTTTGATGAAAGCCCTTCTCATCAGACAGACGTTGTGATAAGATTTCACTATTGACAGTTTATATATAAGCTAATCTGAAAGGCTTCCTACCGGAAACAAGATTTCAACACATAGAATGACATGGCAAAATTCGGACAGTACTCAATCACCCACCCACCCCCACCCCAAAAAAGAAAGAAAACCACAACACTTACAATCGGTATTCTTCAACGACTGTTTCTTTTTACTTGGTTTCGAGATCACTTTAATACGTCTCGAGTGAAATTGGCCTAAGTCTTTCCCATTTTTATAAAACATTTTCAATGTTAGCATAAAGTATTTGCGTTTATCTGAATCAGAGATGAATAATGTCTTGGCATTGGAATAATCTCTCCCGTCGTCTAAATTCATTTGAACCATTTCCATTGGAGTAGTTGATCCACCGATGCCCATGAAGGCAAGGATCTGAAAAGACAGAAGAAGATGAAGAATTCATGTAGAAACATCATTGAAAAAATATTTTTGTCAGGACAAGTTAAAGTATTTACAAGTATTGGTTTTGTAGGGGAGGATTTCATCATGAGCCGACATCAGAAAACCTGAGAGTACTGGACAGCTGTCCCCTCCATCCTAATTTGGGACTCTTCATCAGTATGCACCCACCGCCACAGTTCAAATACAGGACCTTCTGGTTACAAGGCCAGAAAGCTAGCTCGTAGACCATTAAGCCACTCACTGGGACCCGATCCAATGGCTAGCCAGTTCATGAATTCTAACTTCTGCCAATTCACTACATAGCGCGACCACTTCTCAATGTGTTCTTCGATGAGTTACTGCCTCATCTACAAGGTGAGGCCAAGTGGTACAAAGGGCGTCAGGTTTCGGCTTTTGTGTATGCCGGAGGCGCTGGCAATCCGTCAATACAACCCCAAACTCTTTATACAGAAAACGTTTGTCCAGTCTCTTATTCTACCTTGGTCTTAACCTCTTCACCAGTCGTTCCCTGTAAAAAACATTTTGATTTTTTCTTTTCCTTTTTTAATTTTACTTTTAGTTTGCTTTTGCTTTAATAATTAATTCACTATTATCACTCTCATATGTTCCTTTTGCACGTCTTCACACCCTCTTTACTCTCGTTAAGTTGACACTCAACTACCTTTATTCTCTCTCACTCAATAGCAATTTTAACCTTATCAAATTTCTATCTTTGTGCCGTTGAGGAGTACCACGTAATTTACAACTTTTATTTTTTTACTTCTAAAGCCACTTCTGAGTAATTATATCAATTATGTCATCCTGCCCCCTATTACTCAATAATAGACCACCACTATACATTTTTGGTAAGTATAAATACGACTGTACAGCCGCCGCCTCTGTGAAGATGATTTCGTCGATAAAGAAAATTTTCTTCACTGAATTTGTCTTTTATTTTCTTCATGACTACTCAATGGGTATTTTCGGTGATTTACATTTAAAAATAGTTTTTAAAAAAAATGAACATATTCACTTACCTGAGAATTTTCTCGTGAATAAGATGACGTTGTTGATGATGTTGAAGGTCCTGGAATTGGAGTAATTGTTGGTGGACTTGTTGAAGTATTATTTTCAAGAGGATAAGTTCTAGCATTGTTATTATTGGTTGAATAACTCATTAAATCTGTTTGACTTAGTATATGTTCATGATTATGGCCTAGTTTTGTTTCGTTACGAGAAGTATGTCCACCACCACCACCACCGACAGGCAATCCCCAGCCTTCTCCACGAAGATATATACTCGGAGGTGGACAAAAGAATCTAAATCAGAGAAATTACACTTAGAGGTAAGTTTTTGCTGATAAATTTAAGAAGTCATTTGCAAGAATTAATCAATCAAGAGCATAAGACGTTTCAAAATCATCCTGTCGACATTATGTAATTGTGGCATGATGCAAGACTGATAGAAAGAGGCTGAAATTGAAATCAATAATCTAAGTCAGTGGCTACAGCAGAAGGAGAAGTGTTTATTATTCCTCAAATCTGGCATTTAGTTCACCTTGTAGACATGAAATAACCTCATTGGACAACCCTATTTGACCTTGGGCCAATTGTCAACCAATCAGAACAATTCATTGTCCGCTGACCTAGACGAACTCCAGTGTGGCTAAGAATGTAGAGATAGATTGATGTGTTTTTTCTGAATAAAAAACTCGTCTACCAAGTTTCTTATCTTCTACCGTTTTGTATGATATCACTACCTTCGGATAATGAAGACACCATGGCCTGCTTCTTTCTGAGAAGAAGAAGCGTACGGAGCTTCTTTCATAGTTGTGTGCCTCTAAGCAGAAATAGAAACCTAATATACTCTCTTTCCTCGAGGATCCAGAAAATTTGCACTGAGGAATCAGTCAATTGACGAAGAATTGCGTAATCTCCGAGGGACCTTGATTGCAAAATTGTTTCCCACCCAGATTCATAGACAACAATCTAAAACCAATAAAAGACACCTGAAAAGGTCCAAGTCGCCCCCAAAAAGATACTGATACTTAACCTCGAATTTATAAGTGATACCGAAGCAGAACTTCTCTGTAGACGACTTTCGAAGTCTCGCAGTAAAACATACTTTGCCGCCGCCACCGTACGAGTAGCATTTTCCTGCAAGAAACTATTCAACTAGCATGTGAAAGACAAGCTGTCGCATTGAGCCACTTCAACATGCATATACAAGTTCACGTGCGCGAGCCGAGTACATTGGCCGTACCATGCGTCCGCTTGTAAACCGTGCTCGAGGACACTATCTAGTATGGTTAGCAAAGGGGGAATGCAAGGGTGAATACAGTTCGGTAACAGAACATCTGGTGAGTTCGGGACCATTCAGCTCCATTTGAAGTCCTTCAAAGTCATATACAAGATCCAATCAAACCTATCAAAGGGAGTGAAATCAAAGCATCTGAAAAATAGCTGAGGCACTGGCGATCCAAAAACTCAAGCCCACGCTATCTGTTCAAAAGAAATACGTCCGAACTTCCTACTTATGTTGTTACTACCACGTCCTTAATCCGTAATTTGTACAAACAGTCAAGTTTTTTCAGTAATTATGATCTTATCATGTCTTTATTACACTGTGTAACTTTATTAATTTGACCTTTGACCTTAAATCTTTCTAAAATAGTACTACTGTGGTAAGAGCTGGCTGCTAGCCAAAGTTGATAGACAGTAATTAACGTCAATGTTTATGTCCCCAATATTGGTGGTGAGAAAATGAGAACAAAGGCTTTGCGTAGGCGGATACAGTTAGCATATGGATCATCTGACACAGCCACACAGAGATGCAAGGTTAACTTTCTGTAAGAAACAACCAATCAAAAGATTGTATTTTCTACTAACAATAATCTACAATAATGTACTTTAAAACCTATAAATAGGTATTGGTTTTTCTTAATAAACGATCTGTTGCCTGGCCCTTGTCTTCTGTTGTTACACTATCACCTACACGAACGTAAAACCTAGTTGATGACTTCGTCGAAAAGAAAATTTTCTTCGCTGTAACCGTTTTTTGAAATAAACACTTCTACCTCTGCTGCCGTCATTGGTTTAAGATGTTAATTTCAGTTGGGTTTTTTTTTACCGCTTCCTAACCAATCTGCATCACTCCACAAATCAAAAATCTTATTACACCTACTGAAATCGCAACAGCAAAAGACAAACACCCTATTTTTTTAAAACTTGTTTTGAAAGCAATTAGGTAAATCTTAAGAGAACAGAGTTCTGTGATATATCTTTAGGAAAGCTTTTCATCGTATGTGTTGTTGTTGTTGGGGGGGGGGGGTAGCTGATTTGACAGGACTTACTTTCTCTCTTTTAAAAATCAATTAAAACAGTTCAAAAACAATCAATAAATCAATACATTTTAAGAAAACAGGAAAATCCTTTCAGAACATATTTGATCGATAATGAAAACACACAAAGAAAGAGACAAGAGATTAGATTTCTATTACAATTATATTTTCATGTAGAAGAATTCATAGATTTTGTTTTAGATTCGTCAATGCATTGAAGGAGTTGAATAAGTTTGTTGGAGTTACACGTAATAAGATGGGGCCAGGTACATTGGTCGTTCGACGCGTATCCTGTGTCTCAAAGGGTTTAAGAACACTATCTCGCATGGCTGAAGAAAGGTAGTAGTATTAGTGTAACGACAGAAGACAAGGGCCAGGCAACAGATTTTTTATTGAGAAAATCAAAAGATATTTATAGATTTTTATGTACATTATTGTCAGTGGAGAAGCAACGTTTTCTTCTTGCTCAAGGTTATTTTGTCATCTCTGTGTGGCCGTTTCTCAGAAAGTTAAGTCATATATCTCCGAATCATATTCGCACACGTTAAGTCTGCTGTGATTGGTTGCTGAGTTCCCCAAGGTTAAGCTTTGTTATTGTTTATTGTCATGACCCCGATTCGGGACGTAAGCATTGACGTAAATTGTCATCGACAATTTTGGATAGCAGGCAGCTCTCACCACAGTAGTAGTGTGTCGCTGCCTCCGAACAATGAAGATGCCATGGCCAATTGTGTTTGAAGAAGGAGACATACGGAGCTTCTTACGTGACTTCTAGGCCGTTGCTGAGTTGGTGAGTGTCAAGGAGCAGGCGGCGAAGGCGATTGTGCTGGGGACACTGTTGAGAGGCCGAGAAAGGCGGCATATGACAGCGTAGAGAGGTCGGATGGCACAGCGTCTTGGAAGACATTTGGTGTCGCTGCCTACGGACAAATGGAAAGTCTATGCCCTGCAGCTTTTGACGGAGACATATGGATCTTCGGGCAGCACTTCGAGGCTTCTGCGCAGTTGAGTGGCGTTCAAGATCTGTCAGAGATGAGGCTATTACTTTGGCGCTGCTGGGAGGTCGGGAGAAAGCAGCATATGAAAGTGTGAGGCGAAATACCGACGAATGTGCGACAGGGTCAGGGAAAGTTTCCAAAGTGGGAAGGACCACATATGGTAACCTTGAGATGGGGTTACGCAGACACAATCGCAATGGTAAACAAAGAGAAACAAGTGAACATCAGCAAGCGCCAAGATTCCAGACAACAAGACAAACGAGCAAAGCCCCAAGAACCATGAAGACCGAATCAACTTCAGTTGCAAGTCTTTGACGAGGGGACGAGTGTGGTGAGAGCTGGCTGCTAGCCAAATTGGTAGATAGTAATATATATAAATGTGTTGATTTCCTTAATAAACGATCTGTTGCCTGACTCTTGCCTTCTGTTTTTACAGTAGTAGTGGCCCTCCATAAGGAGTCCGATAATCGGACACACCTTGTCAACATACTGGTCACTCCATCTCGACAAATGCCTCCTCCTCCTCCTTTAAAGTAATCAGAGAAGTTAAACTATAGCGTCCCAACGACCTTAAACGCATGCTAGTCGTTGCCTAGCGACACCTGTCATTATTATAGCGCAAATATGAATGCCAATCAGCGACTAAGTAGGAAATTTCACCGAGATCACGTTTTTAAGAGCTGTTTGGACAATGTATTAACAGCTCGTTAGGGTTAGGATCAGGATTATAATTAGGATTACGATTAAGGTTAGGGTTAGCGTTAAGGGCGAAAGTTACACGATTAGGGAGAGGTTTAGAGTTGGGATCATTTATTTTAATTTATTTCATTATCCACATTTTCCTAGTAATTCAACCGAGGGCTTTTGGGAAACACTGTGAAACAGGTCACAAAAAAGCTCACCTTAAGTTGTGGTGAGAGGTGGCTGCTAGCCAAAATTGGTAGACAGTAATTTACGTCAAGGTTTACGTCCCCAATATTGGTCATGAGAAAAATAAGAACAAAAACTGACTCAACAACCAATCACAGCAGACTTTGCGTAGGCGTATACAATATGCAGATAGATAATCTGAACTTCAAGAAACGGCGACAAAGAGATGAAAGATTAACGTTCAGCGAGAAACCAGCAATCAGAAGACTGTTTTTTTCTGCTAACAATAATATAAAATAACGTACATGAAAATATATAAATATCTGTTGATTTCCTAAATAAACGATCTGTTGCCTGGCCCTTGTCTTCTGTTGTTACAAAGTCACCTCGGTGAATACGTACATATACAGAAACTGGTCTAACTTAACAGATGATACTGCTCAATATAACTGGGGAGTATTTTTGAGTCATGTCAGAGATAGATACCCTGTTTAATGTGTTTTCATGCATTTTCTTGTGAATAAACGTCAGTTTTTTCTGTGCAAAAATCACCTGTTTCTATGGTTGGTCGACTCAAGGTCATTCGTGCGTTTGCATCATCCCTTGGGACCCTATAGTTTAATTGTTTGCCAATTAATCTGCACAAAGTGAAGAACAACCCGCCAAAGACAATGCGCTTTCGTCTTCTCACCACACATTGCTGAAGCTTTACACATTCAGTTAGAGAAGGTGGAGTTATGCATACAAAAGAAAATTATTCAACCACTTCTACTATCATTGTAGTAACAACCGTGTGGATTTCTACTGACTTCATTTTTGTCTGTTTGCTCGGTTGTTTTTCCAACTCTTGTGTTCGCTTAGAACTCCTACGTAATTTTCCTTCATTTCTATGTGCATCCTGATCACAACTCACTCTCGTTGAATTATTCATCTTATTGCGTAACTCTCATACACTTGATCAACTCCTTTTATACATTGATTAATATTAACAACTATGGTTCTGACAACTCATCACTTTTGTTACTAGTCTCTTCCATGAAAAAAAGAAAGATTTTGTTTTAGACAAGGTTCATGTTCATTCCTTCATGTCCCCAGTGGACACAGGGCTTCA